CAGTTCTGTATGCATAAATAAATAAATCTTTTTAAAAAAATGGAGGCAGAGCTGACTAAAGAAAATCCCATTTGTCATCCGCTGACAATTACTGAAACCGGTTGATACATACTTGATAGAATCTTATACTATTCTAATTATAATTCTCCTAATACATTAAGGGGGGGGGAAGAGATTTAACTGTTAAGGAGAAAAGAGGGAAAGAGAGGGTAAAGGTTACTTTTTCATTTCAAATGCAAAGTGCCTAGAAAAGCCAGCCAGTGACTGGGTAGGGTGATCGTTTATCATGCAGGAAAGGAAGGAGGCGGCAAAGCAAGGCCGCCGGCTCTGGGCTACAAAATGGGGTTCCTTGGAGTCTAAGGCGGCCAGAAAGTCAGGGGCTGCGCACTGGCCAGGACATTGGCCCCCCTCTCTGGGATAAAACTGGCTGGGGTTTGAGAGCCGCTTACGCCTGCGCAGTATGGCCCTCTGGGCGGTGTGGGTGTTGGAAATTCTTTTACTCCATAATTTCCCTTGGAGCGTGTCGCGTGGCCTTCTGGGAGGTGCAGCTCGCCTAAGAGGCCAGCGAGACTACATACCCCACAATGCACCGCGCCCAGGGTACTGTGTGGAGCGCTGCTGCCCCCGCGTGGCGTCTCAGTGGTTAACGCCCGCATTTAGGAATGACGGAAGGTTTGGTGGCGCCCTGGAACCTCTGGGGTTCTGAAGAGGGTGAACCCAGACGTGGGACAGGAAGGGGTACTGGAGAAAAAGACGAAGAAATGGGGGACAGGACCCACTGTGAGGATGAAATGAAGCGGGCATAGTAGTGCCGGCGGCGTGTAGTCATTCAATCTACAGCTAATCCTAAGCATTTCGCTGTGCGCCTGGCGCTGACTTAAGCACATTACATGTTAGCTCATTTAATACACGGGGCCCGTGCTGTTGTTGGGCCCTAATGGAGTTAAAACCCAGAAGGAGGGTTTTTTGGTTTCAGCGTGTGCCCCTTTACCAAGATCATACCACTCTCTGGACCTGTTGAATTACCCCACGATCGGTACAAGAGTCTACTGATTTGGTGGGCTCCAGGACAGATGTGGTATTTAGTTTGTTTCTAGCACAGGGATCAAGTTTCCGGTCAGCATGAATCCCCAAAGCCCTACAAAGCCAGCTGCTTCTGTTCAGGTGACTCCTACTGAAATGTCCCCACTCCCATCCCTCCCCTCACTACCTGGCACTGCTACTGATTTTGTTCTCCCTCCCTCAGTACCAGCCACCTTCTTTGTAAAAAAT